GCTTTGAAACGAAAACAAGTGCTTCTAGAATTTTGCTAGCAAAACTTATTGGTGAATATTTTTTTTAATATTTTAATTCACACTGCGATCAGCAGAATTAGGAAAAATATAAGAAATCAAAGTCAAAATACTCCCAAATCTCAGTTTTTATAAGACTAAGGCAGTTGGAAACAACCCGCAAATTGTAACACACTATCGACGTTAGCTAAACATTGGCTGTTCTGCCGCTTAGTCGTCTAGCTCCATCTTCAGAAAACTGCCTAGAAGCAATTTTTTATGATTTTGCCTCTCCTTCGTTTATTTTGCCATTTAGTCAGAATTAAATTTCCAAAATTTTTGGCATTCTTTCCTTTCTTTGATTAAAAATTGCGAAAAACTATGCTGTCTGTTAGTGTGCGGCAACAGAAAGCGCTAAAAATAAGTTTTTACGTACTCCAACATCTAGCATCTGACACTTTGAACCCACTTTGCAAAATTATTGCCATCTTTCTCACTGGGAAATTCTTGCGGTTGAGAGAGGCAAAATTTTCTTGTAGTTCTCGACCACTTGCCTATCCTAAAATATATAAAAACTGACTGATATCTGGCCCGACCGTTTGAAGTTGCTGAAAGTCAACGAGTACCGCATATTTTGTGTCTTTGCGTCTCTGCATGGTGATAGTCCCAACACGTGGCCAGCCAATGAATAGTTGTTTAATTGACGAAATGGTGAAGGAAAGTTGGATGGTTTGTAAGAATGAACGGAGAAAGAAGACTGAAGTCGATCGTTTTAAGCAAAAAATTGAAGGGTTATTGTAAGTTACTGTGAGAAAGCGCCAGAGCGCAGTTATAACCACGATAATATTAAAAGCCAAAAATGTTCGCGATTGCGTCTGGCAAAGCAAAATCTTGTAAAAAAAAATAAAAAGAATATGTCTTTCTTCCAGCATGAGCCCAGTCGAATTGTGATGGAGTGTTGCTAAATTCTACTACAGCAAATTGTTATTGTTAATGGAATTGCTGCTGCACGAAATTACGCAAAAACACATGATCGCACCGGCAATCCTGGTGCGTTCCATTCTTTTTATTTAACCTGAAGAAAAACTTACAGTGCAACAGAGTCCATGCAAGCAAGCAACTTTTTCCGTCGTGTACGGTAAGCAGTCGATTGATTCAAAACATGCCCTTCCAATATACGATCCGTTGTTCGAGCATGGAACAGTGCAGCATTCCGAGCCAATACAGGCCACTCGATCAGTCTGACGTGGTTTATACGGCACACACTGCGCATCCATGGTACACGCATGTGCCACCCATTCACCACCATTTCGGCATCGAGCACTTGCGGCAAGTGCTGGTAAGCCCCAAAGCATTGCCAATAGGCTGAGCATTTGATAAAATCGCGAATATTTTTTCTGGCAGTCACTGACCGATCTGCAAGTTTAGCAAGGTGAAGAGGAGCTGGACAACGAATACGTGAAGCAGTGGCATCAGAAATAGTTAAGCTGCAACATTTTATGGAATGTGCAAGGCGTAAGTTGCAAGACCAATGAAAAAATCATTCACGACGCCAATGAAAAAATCATTCGCGGCCCGTGCGATCATGCGTTTTTGCAGTGTTACGTGCTGTAATAAGATTACTCGAAATTCCGCTAGCT